AACATGTTAGTTGTGAATATAATACTTACAATATGTGTGGTGCAATTGTGCTGTGCTTTATTTTTTGACCTTCGTGTTGCAATTTTTTCACTTGTTAACACATTTCAAAGTGAATGTGGTCTTCCTTTCCTTTTAACATGCAATGAGCTACGAATGTCAATGTCAACGTTGTAAACATATGATCTGTGTGAATCTTTACGTCTATTGTTTTTGTCAACATTCATATCTATTTCAGTTTCTGAACGTGGAAATGTATGTGTTGGTCCAAATTTATTCATCATTTGATGCAACATTTCCGTTTATTTAGTTGACTCTGATGCAAGTTCAACAATCTCATAAAATCTTTTGCACAATTCATCGTATCTTTCAATTTGCGGTTGTTTTCCCTTTACATTGTAGGTGGTTTTCATGTAAGTATGTTTCCTTCTAACCTTTTTACTCCATCTACTTAAAATGTATTTACAAGGAACATTTTTAACCCTTTCTTAAGCAAGGACCACCAAACAATGTCGACAAAGAATACTTTTGAATTCAAATAGCAAGCACGTGCAATTGACATTGTGGTCACCACGGTTAAAACTTACACATTACATGTTTTCTTTACAATCTTCACTACAAATAGATTCCTCCATAACATCATAAAACCAAGCAGATCCAAGCCAAGACACATGCACAACACTGCAGTTCATTTTTCCTCTAAATTTAACTTGAACTTCTGCAAATTTTGAATGTGTGTACTCCGACTGAAATTGTCTCTCTATCATAGACTGTGATCCACAATTAATAATTGTATTCATCAATGCAAAATCAACTTCATATTCCTTCTCAGCCTTGTCTTGTAAGACATTTTCATACTGCTTAACAAATTATTGGAGAGATGTCATTGAGTTGATATATCCATCAAAAGATGCATTCATACTTTTACTTCGCTGTGTAGTTGACATCCCAGCCCAAAATTGGATTTTTAAAAAGCATGACACCCATCTTTGTTTCTTTTCAAAAAGGTTATTCAACCACTCATTGTGTTCTAATCCAAATTTGGATATGAAATTAGCCCATTTGGAGGTGAATTCACATACGGATAAAGACTCATAAACAACCTCCTTCATAGCATACTTCATATGTTTGTATTTTATATGACCTTTCAACTCTTCTGGAATTTTTTTCATTATATGTCATAGACACCACCTATGACGGGCTTCAGGAAACACTATCTAAATAACATTTTGCATTGTCTTGCATTGGTCGGTGATAATACCCGTAGGGGCCTTGAATGACATGCAACATAGTCATGATTCAAATAACCATATAAAAGAATGATGTCTTCAGTTGATAACAACCCACACCCTAACAAGATAAAGTGGCCATGATGATTTACACCCACAAATGGTGTGAAAGACATGTCATATTTTTTGGTCAAGTATGTCGTATAAAATGAAACAACATCGCCAAAACATTCATAAGCAGCCCTACTTCTAGCGTCATCTCAGAAAACATTTTTCACACGATTATCATTATATAAGTTTATATCAAAATAGAAATCATTGTTTAATTCCTTCATTTATGAAAAATAATTTAATAGAACTCTGGTTCAAGAGAATTCTAACCACACACCCGTTCATATATGAGATTTATTTTCGATAGATTTTTAAATACATTTACTAAATAAAATATATAAAATTTTTATAGTAAAAAAATTAGCTTATAGGATCTATAAATAATGACTAATGCTCTAAATTTCTTTTAAATTCTTTATAGGTAATATTTTTGTATATTAACAAGTTAAATTCATATTTTGGGAAACTAATAAGAAATAACTTATACAAATTATTTTATTTTTCTTTTCTAAAAATTTGAACGGATATTTTTCAAAACACATGCTAAAACATCTAAGTGTAAATCACTTGTTTTATTACAAATGACATTTGAAGTTTCGAGATAATAGTTCCTTAATTTTATAATAAGTGTCTCAAAAACTAATAATATGAGTGTAAAATAAGTTTAGCACGATGGACCATCAGTAAAACTTAAGAAATATATCAAGTTATATATATATATATATATATATATATATATATATATATATATATATATATATATATATATATATATATATAAAATAGTGGTCTAAAATAAATAAGGTCTATTTTGACCTGATTCCTTTAAGTCATGATCTACGTAGGTTAAGGTCTAGCTTGTAAGGTTATAAATCAACCTATTTTATAAAATAATAATATTTTTTAAACTAAAAGTAATATTATTTTATTAAATATATATATATATATATATATATATATATATTATAAATTAATTTGGTTAAGGACTCACTTATTCCAAGAGTAATTATAGGAGGAAGTCTATAATATCCACTTATTCCACAATTTAATTATTAAGATGAATTATTATTTTAGATCAATAAATTACTAAAAAAAATTAAATGATAATATTAATGAGTAAATTTTTAACTATTATTTTGAGATTAAATGGATACATTCTCCTATAATTTATATATCAAATCATTATATTTGAAATAAAAATTAATATTATTAATATAATTTAAATTTCTAAATATATTTTTAATTCTATTTAAATATTTTTAATTAATTATTTTTTATATAGGCATGTTAATAACCTTTTTAATTTTAATTAAATCAAAATTGATTCGTTAGTCCGTTGACCTAATCAGATTAAGTAACAAATTATGATTTGTTTAAAAATACAAGTCAAACTGAACCATCAAATATTTTTACTTGATCCGTAGGATCAAGACAGTACAAACTGAATTCGGTCGTCCATTTTTATATCTTTAAAAACTAACATCTAATTTTTCATGAAGAAAGGACTGAATCTTCCTTTTATCTTTTCATTTTAAAACAATTTTCTCATGAAAACTTATATATATATATATATATATATTTTTTTTTTTGTTATTTCAAGAATTACATTAAGAGTCTAAAAATACTCATTTGAGACAATAAAGATAATTTATGTGTTATTTATAAAGAGATTTTTTAAAATATAAAATAGGTTTTCACTTATTTATTTTAGCATGTAAATTTATAAAGGTAATTCAATTTAATAGAGAATTTAAAAAATAATTGAAATTATAAAAATTTATAAGGATATTTTGATTTATAAAATAAGAAGTTTTGTAATTTCACCTAAAAAAAGTAAGAATTTAAAATTTTTTTACTTTTTTTCTCTTTAACTTAATTTCGATTGAAATATATTTTGCTTATTTCAATCTATTTTAATTTAGGTTAATCCAATTAATCCTATTTTAGGATTGTTTGACCCAAATAAATATGACCTAACTTGACTAAACTAACCTTGTCATGATCAATCAATATGACACATTCTAACCATTCTTGAACCATCCCAACTTCATCGATTTCAGCTTGGTCCATCTTATATTGGCTAACCCAATCCATTTGAGTCGGTCTAACCCATCTCAAGGTCATATTTCCTAACATAATCTAATCTTTCTTAGATCCTAATATACAAAGTAGTTTGACCCACCCCACCTTAATCCTAACACGACTCCTAATATGTTAGACTCATCTTGATTCGCTTCCTTCTAACCCGATATATCTTGTCTTGATCTAACTTAACATATTTTATCTTGGTATGTCTTGTTCAATTACGACCTAACCTAATTCATCTTAACTCAACTCAACTCGACTGATATGATTTGATTAATCTTAATTCAATCTGACTTATTCTAACTTGTTAACCTATCTCGATCTGACTTAGTCTTGTGACTCACTTCAATTTGTCTTGATTAGACCCGACCTTACCAATATGGTTTGACTTGACTTAATATAATTTGTCATGGTCAATCTTAATCCAACCTGACCTATACGGATAAGGATTAAGTATTTTAAGCTACACCTTATTTATATATATAATTTTTATAATTAATAATAACCAAAATAATTTACTAAATTAATAGTTTTAAATTATTTCATCAAAGCTAATTGTTACAAAAATTAAATCATTAATTCAAATTCCAAACACATTTTGTTTGGAGAATTTTCTCATCTACATTTTATTTTTCCCAAAATATTTGATTTCTATTATGCTTCCTATAGCTAGCGTCATGACATCCTTTAAGTTTTTGGATGTAAAATGACTAGTAGTATTAACACATCTTTTTGAAATTATTTTGTTTAAAGATAAAAGTTAATAAATATGATGTAAAATGATGTCTTTCCTTCAATTAAGGTTTGTATTTTTTTTTTCAGCAGTTCATCTTTGACTGAATAATTTAAAAAAGATAAAGAATCTCAGACTCTTTTTTTATATTTGTCTATTTTCGTCTCTTTAGTATGCATTGTCAAATACGAAAGACTAAAAAGTAATGGAAGATGAAAACATAATTAAAAAATAAGACGAACATTCTTTTTGCAAAATATAGGAATTTATAGGAAAATGTTAAACACTGATTTGCATTTTATTTTTATAAAACTTCATTTACCTTCCCGTACACTTTACACAATTTGTTCGAAGTGGAGTTCGAAACAATCTTCTATTACGGGTCTAATATAAGAAGATTTTTATAAATAAATCATAAGTCAATCATATAAATGTTTTCAACAAAAATCTTAAAACTAAGTTATGATATTTTTTATTTATAAGTTATTTAATTTATCCATTTCTATTTAATGTAGGATTTCAAACTTAAACTCACCTTTAAATTCTCAAAATCATCATATTTTAATATTATATATTAGATAAGAGGACTAAGAGAATGAAATCGTGAATATCAAGTTTTAGGATTGAGCGAAGAAGATACTTCATGTTAAACATAAAACTAAAATATAAAAACTATGTAACGTTTGAAAATATAATGTGTTATGAAGTTAATCTAAGGATAGATAAATGGAAAGGAAATCAAAACAATGAAAAGGGTAAAATAGAGTGCACTTAAGTGATCAAAGCCAGAAATTCCATCCAACATCAACATGCCCTTATTTATCTACCTGGTAATAGTCAAAATTTTAGACTCGAAGCTTAGCCAAAACACACAGAGCATTCTTTCTCTGTTGAGAAAGTCCTGGCAAAACTTCAGTATCGATATCTTCTCTGTTCATCCCCACCGGCAATTCCCAATCAAATGAATTCAGAAGATTAGCAAGAATGAGATCCAATGAGGCAATTGCCGTAGGCCTTCCAGGGCAAATTCTACGACCAGCACCAAATGGAATTAACTCAAAATCTTGCCCTCCAAAATCTATTGTACTGTCTAAGAACCTCTCCGGTATAAACTCATGTGGGTCTTTCCAAGCCTTAGGGTCTCTATGTATGGCCCAAGCATTCACATACACTATTGTCTTCGCTGGAATTTCATAACCATCTATCGTACATGCTTCATTCGTTTCTCTTGGCGCAAGAAGTGGTGCTGGAAGATGCAGTCTCAGTGTCTCTTTTATCACAGCCTTCAAATAGCAAAACTTTTCAATGTCATCTTCATCTACAAAATCTTTCTTACCCCCCAAAGTCCTAATTTCTTCTTGAACTTTCTTCATTACTCTTGGATTTTTTAGTAGTGCAGTCATAGCCCCCACTATTGTGGCTGCAGTTGCATCCGTTCCGGCTACAAGCATATCCTGCAGAAATAAATCATTAATTGATAATTAATTGGTGTATATAATAGATTTGACAAAAAAGAAATTTCTAATTTGCAATTGTCATTTGTAAAAAATTAAATAGTTAGTTTTATAAACTATTGCAGCAATAAAAGATTATCGATTGATGCAGTTTAATTATCATTTAAATATTGCACATAGGTTTGTATATACTATGTTTAGAGACATTAATTTTTGTCCACTTCTCTAATTTAGACGTTCGTATATACATACATAGTTTAGAGAATAGTGACTGAAGGTATCTGTCAGAACAAATATTTTTATTCAACTTCGGTGTCAAGCTTTCTAATACAATATTAAAAACTATGAAGTCCATTGACTTCGATAAAATGAAAAGATATAAAATTCTTTTAAATCCAGTCTTTTGCGCTTTTTGTTTTAAAAGAATCTTTTACATGCAATCAATTTTGTTCGATCTATAAGGTAACACTATTTGAATTATGAATATTCTAGCCGTGAAAATATAAACTACTGTTGTTAGTGAATTAGAAATCAAATGCGAAGTAGAGGATAAGAACTTCAAACCATGAGCACAGCTTTGATGTGATCATTTGTGAGATCCACGGAAAACGAACGCTGCTTCTTCTTGAGTTGAAGTAAGACATCTATTATGTCCTCGTTCTCTGGGGTCTTTCTGTTAGGGTTCATGTGTTCATCAATCACTTCTTGGTAGAACTTGTCCAACTCCTTGAAAGTACTTTCAAGACGTGCATGAAGTCCCCTGAATTTATCAATCCAACCTAAGAAAGGAATATAATCTGAGAAAAAGAAGGTGCCCCACATGGCCTGACACTCATTGAGGAGGCCATGGAACCTACTCCTTTCAGTTCCTTCATCTTCATACCTTCTCCCAAAGGCAACTCTACATATGAGAGTGCTAGTAAGAGACATCATCACTTCGTTCAAATTTGTAGCCTTTGAAGAAGAGGCATGTCTAGATATTTTTTCTATCGTCTGCTTCACCTCAAACTTTCTTATTGAGGAAAACCCTGAGACACGCCTGGTGCTAAGGAGATGGACAACACAGATTTTTCTTATTTCTCTCCAAAACTCACCATATGGGGAAAATATAATCTCTAACCCATTGTAGGACAGTTTCTGCTGGCCAATTAATTTAGGTCGGTCACGAACCACAAGGTCATGGTCCTTCAACACCTCTTTGGCCAATTCAGGTGAGGAAACAACTATGGCTTGTCTTAAACCTAATTGAAGGGAAAATAGAGGCCCGTATTTCTTTGAGAATTGCCATAGTTGCAAATAAAGAATGGAATTGTCCAGCTGATGAAGGTTTCCTATTATGGGAAGGCCTCTAGGACCAGGTGGAAGGGATGGGTTCTTGAAGGTTCTGCGAAATTGGAAAAAGAATAACAAAATCAAGGGAAGAGTAAAACATAGGAGTAGAAGTGGGGACACCATTTTGGCCTACAATTGAGGGTTGGAAGAAAACAGGTTATGAATCTTGTAATAGAATCACACCACTTATATAGAGGGATATGCATGGTAGATTACAACATCAAATTAAATAGTATAATAAGAAGGTTAAGTATTTTTTTTGTTATGGTTAAAAATATTATGAATTATACTTTTAGTTTATACAATTTTTTTTTTAGTCTTTATAATTAATTTTTCTTAAAACCATCGTCATACTTTGAAGCAAAACAGGTTCATATTTGTTCGAAGTCCCATATTTATTATTTACTGGAGAAAGTACAACTTCATAAATTTTTATTTTACTATTTTGGGGTAACCACTAACGGTGATACTCTTGAAATTGTCATTTTCGTTTTTCATACACTACTCTTGAAATTGTCATTTTCGTTTTTCATATCACATCTTTGTCTTCATTAATTTCTTAATTAAATTATTCTTCAATTTAACGGATTTGTCACCGCCGAATATCAAATTTATAATAAATTTGTTATACTGTATTCTTTCTTTCTTTGATAAATAAAACAGTAATTAATATTTGTTATTTTTTTTAATTTTACATAAATCTCTTGATAAATAGTCTTTTAGTGCAATTTAAAAAGTGAAATAAGTCTTCATATTCTATTTAAATTTAAATATTTGAAACTGATCAATTTTTTTCTGCATTTTATACTAGTTTCACCACTTCACTAATATAAAATATAATAAAAATTATGACTTTAATATCTCTTTTTTATTAGTTTTTCTAATTGGATTCAGCATTTATTCATGATGTTCTATATTTGATTATTATTTATTATAAAGGTTTCCTAATAACATACGTAATTTTTAACGAAATTTTCGAAATCATATTATTAAAAAGAGACTCATTATCCACTCTTTAACTTGTCATGAATTATTTAAATATTGTAATAATTTAAAAATAATAATATTTTTAATATTAAAATTAAAATTTTAATAACATTATTTAATATTAGTCATCATGTATAACATCCAGTTTATTTTAAGTGATACATTAGAAAGTTGTTGGTCACAACAGCCACTCATACCAAGTTTACTGGTCTCCGTATAAATATTTTTAAAACATTACATTCATATACAAATCACCGTCAAGAACTTCTAGGCATATAAAGTATATATTTTTCTTTTAATCATAATAATTTATTTCACAGCAAAGTCACATTATCAGATTTTGAATCTTTTACCTTAAAATAATAAAAATAAACTATTATAACTTGTCTCCGTCAATAACAATTACGTACGTCTTTAGCTTCAAACTATTTACCTCTATCCTTGCTCACAAAAACTAAAAACACCTTTTAAAAAGTTTTAAAAGTTTTATCTTATATTTACTTTTACTTTATACAATTTTTTATTTGAATTTCTATATCATTAGTCATACAATTTTCTAATATTTTATAAAAAAAATAAACGAAAAAAAGAAAGTACATATAAAAGTAAAATATACTACACAAAATTTGTTAAACTTCAATAGACTGAATAATTTGTCATAAAAAAATCTGTGAAACATTGAAGTTATAGATCTTGTGAAAAATTTGTCTCATTAATAGAGTAATAATATATGATTATAGTCAAAATCATGACATGCATAATAAAATAAATATGTAAGAGCATGCATGTGTAAGACAAGAAAAGTAGTTTTATGATGGATGTTGTATGGTAAATTATTTTAAGAAATTTCAAAAAACCAAACTATTTATTTTATTATTGGCTTTTGAATTATTTTATATATATATATATATATATATTAATTTTTGTTTTGTAATGGATAAAAATTTAAAATAAATTATACTAAAATCTACGACAGCATTATAAATTTTATAATGAAGTTAAATTTATACATAATTTATGTTGACCAAATTTCATAAAATATTGCCTTAAAATTATCTTTATCACTTTTGTGAGAAAAATGAATTGTATTTCATCACATATACCGTTATAAACATAACATAAACTTCTACCATTCACATTAAAGTAAACCAAGGATTATACTTACTAGCAACTTATTATCAAGATAATAATAAATGATTACAATCAAAATCATGACATAATAAAATAAAAAGAAGTAATCCATGTAGCTTTGCCACTTGATCTACATGTAAGACAAAATTAGAGTAGTTCGATGATGAAAGTTTTTCGGGTCAATTATTTTAAGAATCACTTGATATATATATATATATATATATATATATATATATATATATATATATATATATATATATATATATATATATATATATATATATATAACTTTTTATAATTTATATGATTTTTTTTATTCTACAATAAATTTATAAAAAAAATGGTACTGTTGAAATGGATGGTTATTTGACGTGGCAAGTATTAAAAATCGACGATCTAGTTTAATTTATATTTTAAAATAGATTATAAATTTTAATTTTATTTTATGTTAATTTGATGGGTTAATAATTTTATATTAATCTATTTATATTAAAATAATTAATTAAAATTAATTATATTAATAAAAGTAATTTTTATTTTATATATAATTATATGATATATAAAAAAATAATTATCTTTATTATCAATTTTTTTAATAATTTATTAATCTAAAATAATAATTTATTTTAATTATTAGATTTTAAAATAAATTAATATCAAAACTTATATTTATTCTTTAAATAAATGAATAATTAATTTACACTACAAGAAAAAACGCTATTAGCGACCGAAAAAATCGGTCGCTAATGCCCAAAAATCGGTCGTTATTACTGTTAGCGACCGTAATTAGCTGACCGAAATGGTTGGTCACAAAAGGGCAAGTCGTTAATTTGTTAGCGACCGATTTACATTTCGGTCGCTAAATAGCGACCAAAAATAATATAATAAATCGGTCGCTAAATCGGTCACTAAATCAGTGGTAAAGTTTTAAAAAATAGCGACCGATATATTCGGTCGCTAATATATTAATATAATTATTTAAATAATAATTAAAATCAGTCACTAAATTGGTCGCTAAATTGGAGACAAAGTTAAAAATAATAGCGACGGATATAATCGATCGCTAATATATTAATTGAATTATTTAAATAATAATTTAAATTGGTCGCTAAATCGGTCGCTAAATTTAAATTGTATATTATAATAAATTTGTAGCGACCAAAAATTTGGTCGCTAATCTAACCAAATCTGAAAATTTTCGTTTAAAATTTTGTATATCCAATTTGACAAAATTTGTACCTGCTTAATTCATCCAAACATAACACAAATGAAAACTTAAGAACTAAAGTCAAATTTTGTATATCCAATTTTACAAAATTTGTACCTGCTTAATTCATCCAAACATAACACAAATGAAACTTAAGAACTTAACAACTACTCAAGATTCAAAGTCTTAATATCATAAAATTGAAAATTAGTCCTCTGGTATATTGTCAGTGTCATGTTGACTTGTAGTAGGATGACTATTCATTTGAATATGTTGTAAAATAAGCTTCATCTGCTCATCTTGTTGGCGTTGGTTGTTCCTCAACTCCTGCATCTCTTCTTCAAGTGTCTTCTCCTTATTATGCTTTGCCACCAATTCAGCATTTAACTTTTCAATAGTCTCACGCATTTGTTCAATTTGATGAAGTACTGGAGTTTGAGTAATAGAAGATTGAGAACCTGATGTAGTAGTGAACTTTTTGCTCAATGTACCAAGTCCATACACATTTCCTTTTTTATTTTCACCTCCAACAACTGAAATGTATATTTGATTATCATCAACAGAGACAATAGGAGACTCTTGTGAAGATGAGCCTTCACGCAAGTTATGTTGATGGACTTCTTCTCTGCGCTGCATATATTGTTCCTAAAAATGAAGTGAAATATAATTATTATGAAGAAAACATATATTGAATAATAAACTATAACTTAGATATTAAACATACAACAAGATAACGAGTTTTTTCATTGACCCATTGTCCAGTCTTTAATTTCTTTGTCCTCTCAACAACCTCCCAAACGGTTGGTTCCCGTTGAAACTCCGTAGTCTACACATTAAAATGAGACAAAATTCATTACCTAAAGTGTAATATATTGTATTAAATTACTTATATAAAAATATAATAAACTTACCATCTTCTCAAAGTGAGCTGCAGTAGATATGGAACCCCCATAGTAAGCCGAGGCGCATGATCAGAATCAGTAAGCCGCCACCATCGCCAAAGGATCAGCCACCGCAAGAAGGGGCATTCAAAGGCACATAACCAGACGGGGGTTCATACTCGTCAGCCAAGGGGTCAGCTACTGCGTCAAAGGAGCATCTCGAGGTTTCACATCGGCGCATGAGCTAGAGCAGTAAGTCGCCACCATAGCCAAAGGATCAGCTACCGCAAGAAGGGGCATCCAGAGGCACCTAACCAGACGGGGGTTCATACTCGTCAGCCAAGGGGTCAGCTACCGCGTCAAAGGAGCACCCCAAGGTTTCACATCGGCGCATGATCAGAATCAGTAAGCCGCCACCATCGCCAAAGGATCAGCTACCGCAAGATGGAGCATCCGGAGGCTTAACACCAGATGGGGGTGTGTACTCATCGGGCCTTACAAAAGGGGGCTTACCGGGCGGGGGTTCATACTCGTCAAACTAGATGGAGGTTCGTACTCATCAGCCGAAGGGGTTAGCTACCGCGTCAAAGGAGCATCCCAGAAGCGCACAACACAACATTTTCCCAGAGGATCATCCGCCGCAAAGACGGAGCATCTGAAGGGCAACCGGGCAAGAGGGTCAACTCCTTTACCCTCCAGTCGATCACCTTGGCACAAAAGGCCAGCAGTCGACTGGTCGGGTAAAGGGGGGGCAGCTGTAGACCCCAAATCTTGCCCGGCCTCCAAATAAATATTAGAAGACCTCCTGTTCGAAGATGGACGAAGCCTAACAAGCCACTAGGAAAGACTATTAGGCCCCATACTAGGATAGGAGAGATTTTCTGCACAAAAATAAGGTTTCTCGCCTTTTAGGGACG